AGCAGCACCATGCTGTACTTGCTTGCGCCCAAACCCTAAACCCTAAACCCTAAACCCCAAACCCTAAACCCCTAAACCCCAAGCCCTAAAGCCCTAAGCCCCGAACCCCAAAGCCCTTGACCCTCAACCCGAAACCCTAAAACCCCTAACCCCCCCTTGACCCTAAACCCTAAACTCCTAAACCCCTCTACCCTAAACCGTAAGTTCCTAAACCCCAAACCCCTGGGCTGAGTATTTTCCAGCCCTTTACCTCAGGCTCCGCTTCCCTCCCTCTTGGCGCTTTTCGTGTTTTTGGGGTGTTTATTGTAGGAGACATGCTACACCCTAAACCCGGAACCCTAAACCCTAAACCTTAAACCCTGAACCCTAAACCCCAAACCCTAAACCCTAAACCCTAAACCCTAAACCCCAGACCTTTGAACCTAAACCTTTAAGCCCCCGACCTCAAAGCCACAACTCAGCCCAACATCCTCGGGGCCCTGGACCCTGAACACTGGGCCCAAGACGCCACTGCAGTGGTTTCGGGTTTAGGGTTTAGGCTTGAGGGTTCAGGGCTTAGGCTTTAGGGTTTGGGGTTGGGTAATTTATTTATTTTTTAGGGTTTAGGGTTTAGGGTTTAGGCTCCAGAATCGAAGCTAGAACCTTTTTTCCAATCATGAAGGGGTTTAGGGTTTAGGGTTTAGGGATGTTACAACCCCTTTCCTGGAAGGTCGCAGAGGCAGCTGCAGCGAGACGTTCTGTGGAAGAAGGCTGCTCGTGCGTTTAAGATTCAGTGCTCAGGCAATAATACGGGCCTTAATATTCAGAAACGGGTTTTGGGGTCAACAAGGAAGCCGAATAAACCCTAAACCCTAAACCCTAAATCCTAAACCCTAAATCGTTCAGGGTTTAGGCTCTAGGGTAGACCGTACCCACAATTTCCAAGAGACCCAAGTCCTGAAACCCTCAGCTTGGAGCCCTAAGTCTGAAACATACTCGAGCCCGGCCTAAGAAAATTAAAGCAACTTTAGGACCTTGGGGGGTTTAGGGTAGAGGGTTTAGGGGTTAGGGTTTAGGGGTCTAGGGTTTAGGGTTTAGGGGTTTAGGGTTTAGGGTTTAGGGTTTAGGGTTTAGGCTTTAGGGTTATCGGGTTCGCATTTATGGAGCTTTTCCTCCCGGCGAGGGTTCGAAGCGCCTTGGCGGGTGTTGCTGTCAGGGTTTAGGGTTTAGTGGTGCAGGGTGCTTGGGGATTTTAGTTGGGGACAGAACGAACGATGAAGCTTTAAACCGTAAACCCTGGATCCTAAACCCTAAACCCTAAACCCTAAACCCTAAACCCTAAACCCTAAACCCGAAACCCTAAACCCCAAAGATGGTACAGCCGGGTGGGGGCCATCTCTTTCCACCCTCTCCGGGATTCTGTGGAGTGCCCTGCGGATCTTAGGGCTCCTCCAGGGGTTCCTTTGAGGGTTCTTTTAAGGGTTTTAGGGTTTAGGGTTTAGGATTTAGGGTTTAGGGTTTAGGGTTTTGGTTTTAGGGTTTAGGGTTTAGGGTTTGCTGATCATTGCTATAGTCCCAAGTCACGTGCTCGGAATTGGCTCCTCTAGATGCATATTTTTTGTCCACGAGGCGCAGGCCTCTAAGCCAAGTGCGTTTTTTGGTCAGCGAAATGGAAAACCCTAAACCCTAAACCCTAAACCCTAAGCCCTAAACCCTAAACCCTAAACCCTAAACCACAAAACCCTAAACCCTAAAACCCTAAACCCTAAACCCTAAACCCTAAAGGCCCAGGGGAGATTGACGCAGGTATTTCTGGATGAGGCGCACTATCGCCTCGAGGTAATGTCAGCGGCTTCACGAGCTCTTCGAAAAGGGTTTAGGGTTTAGGGTTTAGGATTTAGGGATTTAGGGTTTAGGATTTAGGGTTTGGGATTTAGGGTTTAGGGTTTAGGATTTAGGGTTTAGGGTTTAAGGTTTTAGGCAAGGACGCGTGCCTAGCTGTGCAACCTCCTGCGGCAGAGTGGGATGCCGGAAATTTTCATGGACAACTTCCGCAGATTCGTCGGCGACTGGCTGTACTAAACAGAGAGCCTAACCCTAAACCCAAAACCCTTAAATCCCAGACTGCAGGGAGTTTGGGATTTCTTCTATTGCCTCGGTTGTTTTCAAGCCTACAGCTGACAGGCCTTCTCGGAGTTCAGGGTTCGAGAAAGGTTCTACAAGGGGTGTAGGGGTCCTATAAGGGTTGAAGGTTTAGGAGTGTGTAAGGTATAGGGTCCGATAAGGGTTCTGTCAGGGGTTCTCAAGGATCAGGGGTGGAGTAAGGGCTGCCTTTTCGACTGACACGAGGACCGCGGCTTGCGATCTTCCTGAATTGCTGGCGTCCCCTTGTTTTTGGGGACCGTCTTCCTAATGCGGAATCTCACGGAAGCCAAAAACCCTCCGGCACTTCGACAGCCTTCTTGTGCGCACTCTGGGCTGTCGTGAAAGGTCTCCGCGAGCAGCTGGCCCAGACGTTGAAGCGTCTCGACCAGGCGGCAGTGCAAGGGAGATTGTGGTTTTGGCCTTTAGTTGTTTAGGGTTTAGGGTTGCTACTGCCGTGGTTGTCCTTGAGTTGCATTTTTATAGGCTTTAGATCTATAGTCCAGTCTTTTTCATTTCGCTGTCGTGCTTGCTTCTTGGGCTCCTTAGCCCGACATCCCTCAAGCCACTAGAACCCCCTAAAGCCCAAAACGCAAGCCCACTCATCACATTCGAAGTTTGGACCCGCAAAAGGACTACCTTCCCTAAAGCCCTGCGCAAACCCGGAAAAGCAACAGGAACACGGCAATGGCAGAACACAGCAAAGCAACAAAAAGCCACGGGCAACAGCCAAGCACAACATTATTACGTTTGGAAGACTCTACCCTAAGCACTGAACCATAGCTCTAATGTAGGGGTGTGAATAATGAGCAACAGCATCCCCTTATGTTCCACACGTAACTATATATTGCTATACATCGCAAGCATTTTTCGTATGACTAAAGCCAAGGATATGGCAGCCTGAGCAGTTACCAACGCTACTCCTTAAGGCTAAAACTTTAACATAATATACCCGAAGATCCTATTCTAATCACAAAGCATCCTATATAATAGAACCCTGCTATAACCCTCATAGCAACCGTTTCCAGGGAACCCTTTCAGGAACCCTATTTGTAACGCAAAAAAGAGGCTCCCCTAAACCCTAAACCCTAAACCCGTTCTTTTAAGGGCGGACAGCCGTAGGAAGCAAAACCGTCCGACCTGCCACCAGGCGAAGGAAAGCCAGCACAAGCAGGACCGTATAACGGTTCAGGCTTTAGGGTTCAGGGCTTGCGGGGCTTAGTAGCTTTGTAGAGGGTTTAGGGTTTAGGTTTAGCATTTGGTAGTGTGTTTTGGAGTTTTTAGGTTTGGGATTTAGCGATGGGGCTTCGTGCCGCTTTAGATGGTTTCAGGCTGAGACTATAGAGATGACTTGTAGTGCAGGTTTGGGTGGTATGCAGCACAACCGCTCCTATGTTCAGGCTATGTTTCCATCTCCATTCTTGGCATTGTCCTAGGCGTTCTTGCACCAATGGAACGCCAGCTCACGCCGATGAACCGCAAGTACCCTAAACCCCAAACCCTAAACCCTAAACGCTAAACCCTAAGCCCTAAACCCTAGCCCCTAAACCCCTAAACCCCTAAGCCCCTGAACCCCAAACCCCTAAACCCTAAACCTTAAATCCCGGCTCAAGGACGCCAGCATGGTGGCAAGCCTCGAGGAACTCCGCCGCACCCTCAGTCTCTCTTGAATTAGGGTTTAGGGTTTAGGGTTTAGGGGTTTAGGGGTTTAGGGGTTTAGGGGTTCAGGGGTTTAGAGTTGAGGGTTTAGGGTTTAGAGTTTAGGGTTTAGGGTTTAGGGAATGTAACCAAGTTCGAAGAGCTGACCGCGGACCCCTACAAGCAAAACAACTTTGTCAAACACTGCAAAACCACCCTAAACCCTAAACCCTAAACCCTAAACCCTAAACCCTAAACCCTAAACCCTAAACCCTAAACCCTAAAACCCCGGGGGCCTCTTGATTTCATTGGCCCCGGGGGCCCAAACCCAGGAGCCTCACGTGACCTAGCCCATCATCCGCAAAGTCGACCAATGGACCCCCAAACACTAACTTTAGGGTTTAGGGTGTAGGGTTTAGGGTTTAGGGTTTAGGGGTTTAGGGTTTAGGGTTTAGGGCTAACTCCAACAAGCATCCATTGGGTGAAACCCCGCCCCCCGCAAACTGCAGCAAAACATAATTCCCGACGAGTGCGCTAAGGCCGATCGGTCACCTCTGAGGCCGCGGCGAGGGAGCTGCACTTCGGCCAGTTGCAAAAGGACCGGCTCTTAGTATAGGGGCCTCCATAGATACAATAGTGTTTCTTAAAGGGTTCGTTTGAAAGGGCTACTATAAAGGTTGAAAACGGGTTCTGTAGTATCGTAATACAGGGGGCTCTTAAATCGAATAGGACGCTGTGGGGGATACTACCAGGGTTAGTTAAATATCTTTGTTGCTCCTGTAAGTTGTATGATTTATTTGCATTATCGTATACCGCTTCAGGGTTACAGTTTCGTTGCGCGGGTCTCGGCTCTTTGTTTCTTCAGGCTTTGGGTTCAGGGTTTCCCGAAGAACCCAAGACGGGTTTCCCAAAGAACCCAAGACCTTTTAATTAGGGAATATACCTTAAACCATAATTTCAAACTTTCTATAATTTAAGGAGCTTTCTTAATTAAGGGGTATTAGGTTCTCTAGGGTAGGATATCGGATCTTCGGGTTTAGAGTTCGAGAGTTTCTAGGTTCTTTCAAAGAAAACTTAGTTTCAGTTTACCATCATGAGGAAACCATATTATTGACTCAAACTAAATTACTTAACAAGAACCCAAGTTTCACGCTTTCAAAGTTTGGCATAGCTTTTCAGGTGTCGGGTTTAGGGCTGCTGCAGGCCCCTAAACCCAAACCCGAAGCCCTAAGCCCTAAGCCCTAAGCCCTAAACCCTAAACCCTAAACCCTGAACCCTTAACCCTAAGCCCTAAACCCTAAACCCTAAACCCTAAACCCGAACCCTGAACCCTGAACCCTGAACGGTCCATGACAAGGGCTTGATAGGGTTTTAGAAGGCAACAAACCCCAAGGCCCCAAACTGAGCAGAGTCGGTTTCTTGGTAAAAAAGCTAGGAGGATATACAAGGGCTACTAAGAAGGGCTGGCAGCTTTTTGGAAGTTTCTGTAAGGTTGATAGTAGATAGATCCTAAACCCTAAACCCTGAACCCAGCCCGAAATCCGAAAAATTGAACTCGAAATCCCAAGCCCTAAAGCACCAAAAACTCAGAGCCCTGAAGCTCTCCAGCCCGAAAGCCTTGATGTAGGGGCCTTAAGAATTAGGATAGGGTTTTGGGGGTTCCTTATTATAACTATGGTATAATATACCCGAAAGCCCTATTCTAATTATTAAGGCCCCTACATTACCCTTTTGCCCTTTACTGCAAGGTTTTGTTGGCTTTAAGGTATTGC